GCAGCATCTCCTGCATCCGCCTCAACTGCGAACAACACACAAACACACACACAGTCAGATATCAGCGGAAAATTAACACACACACACACACACACACACACACAGTCAGATATAGCAGAATAACACAAACACACAAACAGTCACACATCAGCAATAAGAATAATATTACACAAACACAATCAGATATCAGTGCAGGAGTAACACACACACACACACACACACACACACAGCAGTGGCGTGAGCTGATGGTCAATACTGCGCATGCATGACTGTGAGATGCTGATAGTGAGGCCATCAGGAGATCAATCACACACACACAGATCAATAGTACTACACACACACACACACACATGCATATTCATGCACGCACACACACACAAAGATCAATACTCCTACACACGCACACACGCACGCACCAGCTGATCATGTGCTGCATGTGTGTTCTCCATCAACTGAACACTGATCCTGAATCGCTGGATGATTTTCAAAACTCTAATTAATTTCATGAAAGCGTCAGCATGACCATATTTCATCCATAAACTACAGAAGATTACAGCAGTGGTGTGTAGTTGCAGCCTTCACATGCTCTGCTTCAGCCTTTGCATTTGGGTTGTGACTCTTGGGCAGATCACATCATATTAAAGACACAGCGACAGCGTCAGACGCAGCAGAGCGACTTTCTGGCATCAGGTGAATCTTCCTGGTGCATTTCCCACACTCACATGCATGAAAAGGGGAAACTCTTAGGCCTGTTGGTGTGTGTGTGTGCACATATTCTATATTTATAACCATGTCAGAGGATGTTGGGGGTTGCGAGTCACTGGCATTAACTACTACAAGGGCCGCTGTGCTGAGCTGAAGCTGATGTGTCCTGCTGCAGATGATGGAGAGTTCAGACGGAGACTCTAGAGTTTATATCTGTGTTTGAGGAGGCGTCTCTCTAACCTGACGACACAATCTGCTTCAGTTCTAGTGTTTTACTGCGAAAATACAGTACAATAAGCCAGAATTATTACATTATTTATTCTTATTTATTCCTATTTATTATTTATGACTTGCCTAATTACCCTAACTTTACCCTGATTACCCTAGTGAAGCCTTTACATGTCACTGTAAGCTGAACACTAGTGTCTTGAAGAATATCTAGTCTAATATTATGTGCTGTCATCATGGAGAAGAGGAAACACATCAGCTATTAGAGATGAGTTATGAACACTGTTATGATTAGAGATGTGCTGGAGAAATCTGCTCTCTGCTAAACAGAAACTGGGGAAAAATAAACAGGCAGCGAATGATTCAGCGGGGTTAATACTTCTGACTTCACCTGTATATGAGTACACACAGTGGTAGTGGACAGTGTCCAGACCCCCTTTAATGTTTCTCTTTGTTCTATTGCAGCCGTTTGCTGACATCATTGAAGTTGGGTGTTTCCCTCACTGATGTCCACACAGCAGCTCAGCTCGTTCAGCTGCAGGGACAGGACGACTGGTTGCAGTCGAGAGAAAGATGACTGTGGCCAAGTAGAGAGAGATCCTGGACCAAAACCCTCTCCAGAGTGCTCAGGACCTCAGACTGATCTGATGGTTTACTATCCAACAAGACGATGACCCTCAGCACACAGTTAAAAGAATGAAGAAGTGGCTTCACAACAACTCCAAGAATGTTCTTGAATGGCCCAGCCAGAGCCCTGACTTAAACCCAATCAAGCATCTCTGGAGAGACCTAAAGGTTCAGTTCAATTCCTCTTTATGTCTCTAGCGCTTTCACAATGCAGACTGTGCCGCAGCAGCTGAACATAGAAGACCATAGTGAATGTAAACTGTGTCCAGCTTCCAGAGTTGAAGTTCAGTTTATTAAAACTGAATTAAATAATAATTCAAATAATTAAAACGGCCGTCCACCAACGTTACCATCCAACCCGACAGAGGAACAGCAGAGGATCCCCAAATCCAGGAGGGAGAAACTGAGCATCTCACCCAGAAAGACTCCCGGCCGGATTAGATGAAGAGGGGCTTCAGCTGAACACTGAGCAGAGGCTCTGATGACTGAGGAGTGTGTGAGAGCTCAGTTTTCTGTTTAATAAATCTGCAGACAGGTCAGTACAATAATGAGCAAAACAAAGAGCTTCAATGACTATAGCAAACGGCTGCAACAGAACAGAGACGGAAACATTGAAGAGGCCACCGAGATATGAAGCGTGCGGTTAGTGTGAACACATCCAGAATCAAGCAGAAACTATTGGAATTCATCCTGATTTAATGCCAACAGCAGACACACGAGGCTGATCACTGCACTACAGGGACAAACCGCTGTCAGACATGAGGGTGTAGGAGGACTACAGTCAACACTTCATTTATTTGCTTCATTTCAGACCATCACACACACGCACACACGCACACACACACACACACACACACACACACACACACACACACACACACACACACACACACACACTGTACTACAGTATGTCAGTTATAGTGTGTGTATTATATTTATTGAACAGAAGCAAAGCCAGTTCTGTTTTGAGTCTGAACTTCATTAATACATATAAACAAACAAACAATAAATAAAGAAATCTGTGGCTGAATATATATATTGGGTCAATTTATTGGAGTGTGAATGTAGGGATTATTTGAACAGTCAGTTTGAGCATGGAGGAAGTGTGTGGAGCTCAGCATGTGTACAGTCTGCTAGTTAAATCTCCTATACGGTTTAAACACCATCGGGGAAAATAACAGGGTAAAACATGGGTAAAATAATGTTCAATGCTCTTTAGCATAGTCAATATATTCATGACAAATGGAAACGCAAACCCTTATTCTGATCTGCACTCATGAGCACATATCAGAGATAAGATAAAGATAATAAATGAGTGAAATGAAGATGACAGAGGAGAATTACTGAGTGTCAAACTGGACCTTCAGTACAGTCTAATATTACAGAGAAACAGTGATTATCTCAAAACTACTGACACCTTCTGCATATATAAAGACATTTATACTTTACACAGGACAATAAAAGCAGATAAATACATAGATGCATATTAATGAATGAACAAACAAACAAATAAATAAATAAATAAATAAATGAATGAATGAATAAATGAATAAATAAATAACGAATGAATGAATGAATAAATAAATGAATAAATAAATAAACGAATAAATAAATAAATAAATGAACTAATGAATGAATGAATGAATGAATACATACATACATACATACATACATACATGAATAAATAAATTAACAAAACAAATAAATAAATGAATGAATTAATAAATAAATGAACAAATAAATAAATAAATAAATAAATAGACAAATAAATAAATAAATAAATAATTAAACAAACAAATAAATAAATGTATGAATAAATAAATAAACGAACAAACGGACAGTTGGATGGATGAATAAATTATTAAATTAATTAATAAATAAATGAAATAATTAATGAATAAATGAATAAATAAATAAATGAATAAATAAATAAATAAATAAATAAATAAATAAATAAATAAATAAATAAACGAATGGACGGACGGACAGATGAATGGATTAATAAATTAATTAATAAATGAATGAATGAATGAATAAATAAATAAACTAATGAATAAATGAATGAATGAATGAATAAATAAATAAATAAATAAACAAACTAATGAATAAATGAATGAATGAATGAATAAATAAATAAATAAATTAACAGATGGACGGACGGACGGATTAATAAATTAATTAATAAATGAATGAATGAATGAATAAATAAATAAACTAATGAATAAATGAATGAATGAATGAATGAATGAATAAATAAATAAATAAATAAACAAACTAATGAATAAATGAATGAATGAATGAATAAATAAATAAATAAATTAACAGATGGACGGACGGACGGATTAATAAATTAATTAAGAAATGAATGAATGAATGAATGAATGAATAAATATATATATATATAAATAAATAAATAAATAATGAATGAAAAAATAAATAAATGAATAAATAAATAATTGAATAAATAAGTAAAAAAATGAATGAATAAATAAATAAATAGATGGATTAATTAATGAATGTAAAGACATGCTGGACATTTCTTAGTAAGGCTGGCGGAAGAGAAGAAGCAGGATTAAAGTGCATGAAGCCAGAGGTGTGCAGGCCTTCAGGACACCAGTACACACACACTCATACACACACATACATGCACATGCGCACACACACATTGGTATTGAAGGTTTAAGAGGACCATAGGTGGCTTATTATAAGCCCCTCCCCCAAACCCCACCCTCACAACACACCTGTGGAGGATTATTGATGTCAAACACCTCGTGAGGTCAGGCAGGTAACTACAAGCACACGAGGCATGTCCTTATAAACCAGTTATAGGGTACAATTAGGTCATAACCATAACATAATACAGAAAACAGTCCTTATAAACCATCAAAACCAGTGCACATACACATGCAGACACACTCACACACACACACACACACAGTCTGCATTTCTGCATGTTCATAACACTTCTCTCTGTGTGCTTTATGACTTGTTATACTAACTGGTATTATACCAGGTCTCCACAACGTCAATATTTACTGGTATTGCTATACTTGTGGGGACGTTTGGTTCTCAATGTTAGGACACACAAAATCACACACACACACGCTGCTGCTGAGCTCCTCCAGAGGGCGCCAGAGAGAGAGACAGGTTAGTGCTGTGAGTGTGTGTGTGTGTGTGTGTGTGAGTGTTAGCAGAGCTCAGCGCAGTGTTCAGCCTCCTGCACACACTCTTCCTGCATCACACACTCCTCCTGTACACTCTCCTGCACACACTCGTCATGCATCACACACTCCTGGTCCACACACTCCTGCGTCACACACTCCTGCTCCTGCGTCTGGGTGTGGGGCGGCTGCCGTACCTCCTCATCTTTCTCCCGGATCAGCTTCTCGGTCTCGCTGTCGCTGACGCCGGGCGCTGTGGGGATGGGGAAATCTGTGCCGCTCTCCCGCGTCAGCTTACTGCTCAGAGCCAAAGAGCACAGGCCACAGCAGTGTCAGAACACACACACACATGCACTGCAGAACACACACACACACACACACACACACACACACACACACTGCAGCCCACAGACACACACACACATACACACACACACACATACACACACACACACACACACACACACACTGGGCCAAACACCAGGCTCATTCACAGTACATTAACCCACCCAGGGCTTCTCCTGCAGTAGATGTTGAGCTGGTCCTGCAGTCTTTAAAGGCCTCGTGAAATGAAGCTCAGTGTTCAGATGCGAGTGTCAGTCTGCTAGTGTTAATGTTATCTATAATCTGGTGTCTGCAAATCAGAGACAAACTCCACCTGCAGCAGGTACAGCCCTGATCTCCTCATCTACAGTCTGCAGTTCGTCTCCTCCTCCTACACTGGATTGCCTTGTCGTCTCCTCATACTTGAGTTCCTCATCAAATCTGCTGACCAATCAAATGCTCTCTAGTGTCTGACATGCCCCGCCCCCTTCTTTTCATTGGCTCTTTTGACTCGCTTGAGCTCAAACACTCACTGGCAGAGCTGTGAGGAAAACTAAATGCTATTGGCTGTGTTTTTTAAGAGGTGGGGCTATTGTGTGTCCCACCCTCTCTCTTAAATGTCCTGAATATTCTTTGAGATTATGTCAGAAACTGAAAAATGCAGATTTCAAAGCACTTCACGAGACCTTTAAATCAAACCTGTGTCAATTAATTTGACTGTCACTGCATCATCAACCATATCAGCCAATCAAATGGCTGCATTCCAGACTATATTTGCATATGGGGGATTCTAGAATTGCAGGTACATTTTGTGTTTGCACTCCAGTTAAGTTTTGAATAATTACATACATTTATACCAAGTTATACAGTATATAAAAATTGTGGCATTTTGTCAACTCTGTTGCCGTTATTTTTAACTTTGTTATCGTAAACTCTGTTACCATGTTTTCAACTCTGTTACCATTATTGTCAACTCTGTTACTGTCATGGTCAACTCTGCTACTGACGACTGGATTACCGTTACTGTTAACTCGGTTACTGTTGACTCTTTTACCGTTGACTTTGATACTGGTTTAAAGAGCAATAAGTTAATAAACAGTTAGTAACAGAGTCATGGTTTCCCCATCACATTTAACCGTTCTGCATTAATATACACTAATAACGGACTCAGCTTACTGTGGTTCAACATTTGTTGTGTGTCATTCCAGTTTAAGGGAAATAAGTGGAAGATGTACCCGCAGTCCTGGAATGAGTCACACTGTGAGAGATGTAATATGATGTTGAAATATGCATAAACATTAGATGCCTAATGTTTATTCATGAAAGACCTCATAATGGCATCTACATATGCAAACATCTGATGTTAAATCCATCCCATAAACACAGTCAAACACACATTTCACTGAAAGACTTGAGCCCCAGTAGCCTTGCATGCGCAGTCAAGAGAGGAAGTGACATCATGAATCAGTGTGTTGCAGAGGTGTGTGTGTGTGTGTTTGTGTACGTACTTGCGGTTGCGCTCCTTCACCACCATGCGGGTCATGCTCTGGATGCAGTGCGCTCTGTAGTTCTCGTAGTGTGTTTCCCGGGTCACGTCCTTCAGGTCCTGCATGTGTGTGCGCACCAGCATATTCCTCAGCTTCACGAAGTCACAGTGCGCCGGGTTCTCCACTGACACACACACACAGACAGACAGATAAACAAACACACACACACACACACACACACACACACAGATATAATTGTAAGGACTCGATGGCTGGATGTTGTGTGTCTGTGTCTGCATTAGACTCTCACCCTCCACGATCCCCCAGGGGTACAGCCGTCCTCGAACCCGCTTGCCTTTGGCTTCTACTACAGTGTTACTGCCAATCACAGCGAAAGGGATGCTGTCCTACAGAGGACAAAACAGCCATCCCGTCAGCCCACACACACACACACACACACACACACACACACACACACACACACACACACACACACACACACACACACACAC